AGTGGTCGTTTTTCGCATAAATTTTCTTCGCGAGGTCCCATGCAATTATATTTTTCGATCTCTTTCCATGCGCAGAAATCAAGACACGAAGTAAGCGATATGATCGTTCGATATCGTAAATTCCTTCAGTTTTCTTCTTGATGAAGAAATTGAAATACCAAATTGACAACGTGATTGCTTGGTACAGCTGCAAATTATTTTCACGATATAGGCACGGTTATCTCCTCGATTTCCATTTTGATTAAGAAGCTAATGGATAAACAAAGTAAACAGAAATGATGGTTCGACTTCCCCATAAATTTAACCTACTGGATACGAGTACATTTTTAATAGAGAGATTGAGCATTCTTCTTTTTAATAGAGAGATTAAACCACCAAATCTTAAATGAGATCGCACTATATTGCTATTAATTATCCTCGCAATATTATACACGCTTATCTCCTCGATCTCCACTATAAGTAGTTAATGTATGCAACAAAGTAGACGATAGCGAGTAGACGTGGTCTTTCCCATCAATTTTCTGCGGTGGCTCCTATATGATTATAATTTTCCAATCTCCTCTCTAATAGAGAAATTAAAATACCAAATCCTTAACGAGATCGCTCAATTTTCCCAGCAACGCTAAACCCTAGGCAAGGAGAAGGATCTTAAAAAGGGTAGACTAAGAGCTAAAATATTGGAAAATTGATTAGCCATATAGTAAAAGACAAGTCGCATAGTCAAGTAACCAAAGCGATGACAACGAGAGATAGAAAATAATCATTTAAGTCGAAAATATCAATTAAGTGTTAATTTAGGGATTAATATAATGATTAGGATTAGGGTTAATTATCTAGCATGCTAGGTAGTTAATATATAAAACAAAGTAGACTGTAAATAGTAGACGTGGACTTACCCATAAATTTTCTCCGCAAGGTTGCACGCCATTATGTCTTTTCAATTCCCGTCCTCGTGGCGAAATTGAAATGCAAAGTAACCAATATGGCGGTTCGATCTCGCCGCGAATTGTCACTTTGTCGTAATGGGAACGTCCCGTATTGATTTTCTCGAGACGAAACCGAGCTTCCTATTCCCAGGCACGTGTTTACGCCGAAGGATTCTAAATTGACGACTATTAAACACATTTACCTCGTGCTCGCAGCTACAACAATGGCCGCCGGGCGCGCGGCGCCCTCTACGCCTCGTCGCTTTGGCGCGAATTACGAAATTAAGCCTGCCATTGTTCGGTGAATCGCTCGTGCGTCCTGAGAATTATTCGAGGATTGTTGGAGAATTACTGGAGAATTACTAGAGAATTACTGGAGAATTATTCAATTAGACGATTTTTAAGAGTTCTCTCGTCTACCATGCGTCGACAGTATTCCTAACCTCTGCATGGGTTAAAATAATGTTAATTAAGAAACGGTAGGAGGCTCTTAAGACGTTGAGTGCGGCGCCGATTTTGCTGTACTTTCGGCTCAAGCGGCAGCAAGTATGAACAGAAGATTTGTTTCACTTTGTCGTTTTGACTGTAACTATTGTTTCTTAAGCACTTCGGCGCCAATGCGCTGCTTTGCCGTACCTGGTCCATTTATGGATATAGCGGCAGATGTTGGTTGCGAATTTAGATCATCATACCAAAGAAAAGAGCACGGTCCAACCAGCGGAGGAAGTCAACCCGCACTTGACCCTAGTAGGCTTCAGGAGTACGCCCGGGGAGATACCCGATTTGGCGTATTACTCTTGGGCCACTTCAGGTCTGGCATGGATACGAGATCCAACCGAAGGTCTCCATGGCCCGTCGTTTTGACTATAAGAATGGTGCAGCCAATGCACAAATGTACAAATTATAAACAGAAGATAATGAGGTGGGGAATGCCAGGAAGGCAAGAAGGCGATCGCCAAGAGACGATCAGTCAGAAAAAGCCACGGAAGTGTAAAGATTTACTTCAGCAAAGGGAATTTAGTTTTTACAATATATTAACTGTCATTAATAATTTAACCGTTGACAATGTCACGCACCGATGTCGACCGAACGAAAAATTCGCTGTCAGTCCCTAGAATCCACGCCGTCCAAACGAAAAGCCTACTGTCAGTCCCCAGAGACTGACATAGCACTCAACGTGTTTACCACTTCGGTACGTCGCTTGTCCATAGTCGGCACTCATAGTGCACACGATACATTTGTTGCGTCCCAAACACTTCAACTCGCTCGGAGACTTTCGTGGGATTGTGAGGCCCGTTTACGCTGCTGCGGCAGTGTTGCTGGGATGCGGCCTACTCTAACTTGATAGAGGTAGGCCTGGTTATGGTTGAACTGCACAAAGATTGTGAGGCCCGTTTACGCTGCTGCGGCAATGTTGCTGGGATGCGGCCTACTCTAACTTGATAGAGGTAGGCCTGGTTATGGTTGAACTGCACAGAGCTCTATAGTAGACAGTCTCCTTCACTGAGTTGTCGGTGGATCTCGATGATGATAGTATGGTCATCTTGAAGTTTTTAGGAAGAATCCTTTTACGAATGCTTTGTCGGTGGTTTTATAAGGTTCGTCTGTCTGCTGATCGGTATAAGGTGTATAAGATGTAACAGGTGGGTGTGTCATTCTGTGATGGTGGAAGTTAAATAATTTGAGTCCTTGTTACGGTTTACACTAGCGGTGGTTTAGGTGATGATGAGTATGTACAAGTCAAGGGACGCTGACAATAAGGACATAAACCAGTCCTCCACTTGACCTGGGACATTGCGGTCCTAGGGCTGCAACAGCAATATTAACAGTCTTAGTATAAGTTAACTAAATGTGTTACACTCGTATAATTGGAGAAACACATCCGTCAAATTGACGGGTTCCGTGAATTTAGTGTTAACGTGTTAAGAGGTTCTTAGGAAGTTCTTAGGTGGTTCTTAGAAGGCTCTAGGTTTATAATCCGCGTTATCTCAGTTGGTGTGGGCTGTTGAGTCTTGTGCCATACCTCCACTCGACATATGTGTATGTTTGATGTCAATGATAATGTGTCGGGCGTTACTTTTACAATATGAGTCATTTTTAATTTAACTTGGTGAAGATTGTTGACTGGCGTGCCGTAGGTGGGTGTTTGATGTCGGTGATAAGGTGTCGGAGGGTGTCCTATGTAACTGGGAGCTTCGCTCTGCCGGTGACTTGAACGACCGCATGCAGCGCTGTCGAAACATTTATAGTTGCATTTGGTCATAGCAAAATTTTCATCTTCTCTCTTTTTGAATCGTGTTTTCTTTCTCTCTTTTGCAATTTCCTGTGTTCAGAATTTTATCTACCTGCTGCAAAATGGTCTCGAATTTTTACGGCTGCTTGGTGTAATGAGAGAGTCGAGGAGGAAGAGCTACTCTCGATAAGTTGCTCGTTGGCAATTCAACTGCGTAATTATAAAGTAAAATAGCGGAATAGTAAATGTAACTTCAGTGTGCGTGTTGTTAAAAATAAACGTTGCATTCGAAGCAACGCTATTTTTAATTCGTTTCAATGCATTTCGTTGCATTGCACGCAGATTAGAAAATCATTTCCATTTAGAATTGATGATAATTGCTAATACGTCTCTGCTGTGTTTTCTATTTATTTTACCCTCTCGTAAGAATTTCTTACACCGTGTACTTCAATACACGAAGTACATATGAGTCGTTCATTGCATAAATCGATTAACTCCGCTTTTTGAAAAATCTTAAATATAAATTGTTGTGACTATACCAAGTGCTTTGACACTTAAATTTAAGATTTTTCAAAAAGTGGAGGTAATAGATTTGTGCAGTGAACGGCTCATATAGAACTGAATGATACTACCATAAAGTAACTATACAAATTTACTAGGCTCGTTAAACCATTAAACAAAATTAATTAGAAAATTATAATTTATTGCTAAACAAATTGGGAAGAAATGTCTAGTAACTTTAGTTATTTAATACTACTGTATAATATATGTGTAATATATATTTTACAATAAATATATAATACAGATAGCCCTCCTACAATAAGGCATTCTATAACACTGTTTCACTATAACACGATTCGTAAATTGCGGGAACCCTCTTACAACACGGCATCCTATAACACGGTTTCGCTCTAACACGATAAGAAAATTGCAAAAACCTTTGTGCAACACTGTACTTCTACATGAGCAATGACGACGAAGAAATTTATTAAATTAAAGTCACGTTAAATTAAAATAATATTTTTCTTTTTGTTTTGTTAAAAATTAAGTTATTTATATAGAATTAAAAAAGAAAATTGTTTTTAGTAAGTTTTCGGAATGTAACCCCCCTTTTTGTACTGACTCTGAATCTCATACAACACGGTGTCACACGACACGGCATTCTCTAGGAACTTATCTACCGTGTTATAGGAGGGTTACCTGTAGCTAATTGTTGAAAGTAAGATACGTCTTAATCTATATACGAAAATCAATCTCTTAGGTGAAATAGATATATCTTTAGATCTATGCACCGAAGAGCTTTCGGGAACGCGTTAGATAAGTATTAGGAGACCAGGACTGTGCATACCCTTTTTCTTCACTCTAGTTTTCACTCTCCCTACGAATAATCAGAATACGTTTGACATACCTTCCTTAGGATAGAGTAAAGATAATTATAGCACCAAGATATTTCTTTTTACCCATAATCCTAATAGTAATATTCAAAATTAACCCTTTGCACTCGAGAGGTGAGCTTCAGTCACGATTTCGTAAAATTTGGAAGATCGATATTAATTAATATATCAAATTTAATGTAATGTAACAATGTGCAAGGTATCGAAATCAAATAATTCTACAATTCTGTTATTATACAATTCTTTATTTACTACTCGAAAAAGGATCGTCAATTTTTTAGTAGAGGATCTTTGAATTCCTACTCTTCTCTAACCTAAAAATCGTCGAGTGCAAAGGGTTAATAGCAAATAGAAAATTAAAAAATTCTTGTTTTAATCGCGATTTGAATAATGATAGGTGGAGTTCTAGCTTGAAATGATCATCACGATTCTCGATCTGTTTTTCAGACTCGGACAGCGAGAGCGAGGATGGCTCGTCCACGAGGTTAAACTTCAACGTCATCCCCTATACGGTGAGTAATTCGTTCCTTTCAGTGCAAGACGAATAGAAACGATTGAAAGTCAAGGAGAACGAACGTAACCTCTGCTCGAGAATGCATAAATATCCTTTATCGATTGCATCTGCGACGATGCATTTGATTCATGCGCCAAGTTGAGGATATCTGGCCGTTCCATCTATTCCATACGTGATATTTACATACCGTTCTAAATTCACTTGTATCTCTCGTTCCAAATCTCGGCTGTTGCTCTACCAAATATCTCGTTCGCGAAATAATTCACCTATGTTTTTTTTATCGAGAAATTCGCTCTTCGGAACTTCCTTCTTGCCCAGGAAAAAATGTTCCAATTGGAAATATATTTTTAGTCGAACAGAAATTTTCTGAAATTACTTTTATCCAAACCTTGTATTACAAAAGTAATTTCATAAAATTTCCTTCTTAATTTTAATTAATTCCCAGAAAAATCCTTCTATCCCTCCAAAATAGGGACTTTCTAAAATTATTTCCTATTAAGAAAGCCATATTTTGTTAAATCTGTTTATTTAATAATTAATTCCCTGAAATTATTCCTTTATCCGAATCTTTTTATTTAATTACCCGAATTTGTTAGCCAAAAAGAATGTTCCAATTATGAATTTTTGTATCCACACAATAATTCTGGAAAAATTACCTGCTATTAAAGAAACAATTTTACCAAGCTTTTATTGAAAAATTATTTAATTCCAATTCTGATTGTAGACGAAAATTTGCATTGAAAATTATTTTTCCAAGATACTAATTTTCTAGAGGCACTTTTTGTTATGGAAATAATTTCCTGGAAATATTTTTTAATTAAATACCCCGATTCCTTAATTCGAGCAGAGGTTATCAAGAATTCCACGTACTTGGAAGATACAAACGGAATTCTTGGGCTCTCTGCTATTCTTTCCACAGTGACTATCGTATCAGACGCGAAATTACCTAAATTTCCTAAATTCCCCGAGAAAATGAAAAACGCGAAATTCCCCAAATTTCGTAAATTTCCCGAGAAAATCAAAGACGCGAAATTCCCCAAATTTCGTAAATTCCCCGAGAAAATCAAAGCCGCGAAATTCCCTAAATTTCGTAAATTCCCCGAGAAAATGAAAGACGCGAAATTCCCTAAATTTCGTAAATTCCCCGAGAAAATCAAAGACGCGAAATTCCCCAAATTTCGTAAATTCCCCGAGAAAATCAAAGACGCGAAATTCCCCAAATTTCGTAAATTCCCCGAGAAAATCAAAGACGCGAAATTCCCCAAATTTCGTAAATTCCCCGAGAAAATCAAAGACGCGAAATTCCCTAAATTTCGTAAATTCCCCGAGAAAATCAAAGACGCGAAATTCCCTAAATTTCGTAAATTCCCCGAGAAAATGAAAGACGCGAAATTCCCTAAATTTCGTAAATTCCCCGAGAAAATGAAAGAACAGTGACCATTCGTCATAGACCAATGCATCGAGCAGATGCAAATTCGAATCTCGCGAACAAGACTGGAACTTGTTAATTGAGGAAGACAGGTTATCTCGTGATGCAAATTCTCGATATTTCTGCATCTCCTTATTTATTCAGGAACCTGTTGTCTTTAACGCATCGTCATATTCGTATACGGAATACGTAGAGCCGGGCTCGTGTATTCGTAATCTAGATACAACTTAATTAAACTCGATTGGCAGGAACGAATTTCGTAGCCTCTGACCAAGTGACATTCTTAATGGCCGAAGATGCAGGAAAAATGACTGGATCCCCCCGATTACGACACATTTTATTAAACTCACGCGACCGGCTGATCAGCCTGGCATGATTCATCGTCACGTACTCTACCAGCCAGTGTCAGGAAACTCTTGTTAATCTTCAATTATCATCCGCTAACGTTTCAGGCCGTTATAGCTCGGGTATTTTCTTATCTCTCTGTAGTGTATGAAACAATGTCTGAATAAAGAAATTTATCACGAGAGAAACGCTTCCTAGTATTTGATCATAGCTCGCCTCTGGCGTCTTATCGCCTACGGTGATCGAGTGATCGATGACTTCGGATTATCTAACTGTATAACATCGCGTCATTATCGGGACAACCTATTACGAATTTTCGCGTTTCCACGATACAAAAGTACGCGTAATTTAAATGCAAATCGCACGTGATGTATGTACTTGGCACACGTGATCGAGAAGACGAGGTGTCCCTAGAATTGCGATAGTTGAAGTAGGGATTCGTATAGAATTCTACGCTTCTGGGAATTCGATTTTTACCTGGTGTGGAGAGTACAGAGATTAGGCTGATAAGTATCGGTGACGTCTTTGTAATTTTTATGTATGGAAGTATAGAAATACTGAAATATTTGGGTAGATTTGTAAGATGATTAGACGATATTCTTGTATAAAAGGCACACTACTTGAGAATTAGAGGTATTAATCGAAATGTGAGCTATAGGTCATAAAGAATTGGGGGATTGGTCGAGAAGAAATTTGGAATGAACGCTAAATTTAAAATTATGGCTCTGGGAATTTTTAATTTTTAATTTGCTGAGATATTAATAAATGAATTTTGGTATTTTCGAAACTTTGGGGGTAATAATGTGCCGTTTCAAAGTTCAAAAGTACCGATATACCTTTTGGAATTCTGTCCAAATTCTATTTGTAAACTGCCGGTGTACCTTTTGGAAATTTATTAAAATTCTATTTCTATAGTATCAAGATATCTTCTGAAATTTTATCTTAAATCTGTTTCTAAACTACCAATGTACCTTCTGCAATTTTATCCCAATTCTACTTCTAAAGTAACAAGCTTTCTTGTAAAATTTTATTAAAATTCTATTTTTAAATTACCAACGTACCTTCTACAATTTTATCCAAATCCTACTATATTCCAAATTCCATTTCTAACGTATCTGAGTACCTTTTGAAATTTTATCCAAATCCTATCACGTTCTAAATTCCATTTCTAAATTATCAAAGCACCTTCTGAAATTTTATCCAAATTCTATTTCTAACCTACCAATGTGCCTTCTACAATTTTATCTAAATTCTGTTTCCATCCTACCAATGTGCCTTATAAAATTTTATCCAAATTCCATTTCTAAAGTATCTGAATACCTTCTGAAATCTTATCCAAATTCTATCACGTTCCAAATTCCATTTCTAAATTATCAAAGCACCTTCTGAAATTTTATCCAAATTCTATTTCTAACCTACCAATGTGCCTTCTACAATTTTATCTAAATTCTGTTTCTATCCTACCAATGTGCCTTATAAAATTTTATCCAAATTCCATTTCTAAAGTATCAGAATACCTTCTGAAATTTTATCCAAATCCTATCACGTTCTAAATTCTATTTCTAAATTATCAAAGCACCTTCTGAAATTTTATCCAAATTCTATTTCTAACCTACCAATGTGCCTTCTACAATTTTATCTAAATTCTGTTTCTAACCTACCAATGTGCCTTCTAAAATTTTATCCAAATTCCATTTCTAAAGTATCAGAATACTTTCTGAAATTTTATCCAAATCTTATCACGTTCTAAATTCCATTTCTAAATTATTAAAGCACCTTCTGAAATTTTATCCAAATTCTATTTTACCTTCTGGAAGCATGAACCAAGGCTTGCGTGACTGAACCCGTATTATGACCCCGAGTCGAAGGAGCGCTAGCCAGAGAGCAGAGCGGAAAAACGCGAAATGTTGACAGAAAAGTAGCCTGGAAAACTTCTGGAATCCGCTAATGTCGTTCCTCGACGAGTCTGCAAACAGAGATTACAGGTGGCACGACTCGGTTTGGCGAAACGAGCAGCCTGGCGGTGTGTGTGTACGCACGCTAAATTACCCAAGCACTCGGGCTCTAGTTGCGTAATGACACGCTTATGCTTTCTTGAGCGTGCACATACGCCTTTCGCAAATCGACGCTCACTTTCTCGGCGAGCACGTACACGCACGTTGGCAGAAATCGATACGACATTTCACGGAGGAAAGGGTTAACACGGTAATCGCCGTGATTCTTATGAAAGCGTCCTGGCTCCTGAAGGAGAAGGGTATTAGATCCGCAGAGTTGATAAGCATCGATGCACTTTCCACGATCATTCCTCACCGGGGTCCCTGTACAGCGTGAAATCGAAGTGCGTTTCATTCTAATTTCTCTATGGTGTAATAATCCATTCGATAAATCCAGGATCGCACTGTGCCGCATACTCTTTAGATTACACGATTAGTATCGTTGGACTAACGTGAAAAAGCGCTCGCGATGAACTTGACACAGGATCTGCCTTATAGTAAATTGAAACTAAGGTGCATGCGCGATGTCCAACGAGGAAGTATTCGAGCTGAAATGAAATACGAGAAAAGGGAAAGAAATCAAAGATTAACTTGAAATAAATGAGAATAAGGATATGAAATGTATGGAATGAACAGGGGAAAAGAAACAAGTTAGAAATTAATACAGAATGAATAAGAACAAGAGTATGAAATGCATGGAATAAATAAGAGAAGAGGAACAAATTATAAAGTAACGAATGAATAAGAAAATGAATATGAAATAGATGGAATAAATGAGAGAAAAGAAAGAAATTGGAGATTAATAGGAAATAGATAAGATCAAGAATATGAAATGCATGGAATAAATAAGAGAAAAGATATAAATTATGAAGTAACGAAATGAATAAGAAAACGAATGTGAAATGGGTGGAATGAACGAGAAAAAGGAAACAAATTAGAAATTAATAGGAAATAGATGAGAAAAGGAATATGAAATGCGTGGAATTAACGAGAGAAAGGAAACAAATTAGAAATTAATACGAAATAAAAATAAAGACAAAAATGTGAAAGGAATGGGAAAGACAGGAACAGTAAAACAGAAATTAGAGACTAAGAAAGTAAAGATGAGTCCAAGGATTACTGAAAAAATCGACCAATATTAGGCAAACAAAGAAATATATATATATATATTTATATATTTTTATATATTATAACTGACCACTGCTCCTTAACCATTGGCAACCCCTTTGA